AGAATGAGAGACAGAGACCAAGAGAGAAAGAAATGGGAAGATAAAAAGGAATATTCAGCCTTACAAACATTAAAATAACCAAAGTTAAAATAATAAAATAATGTCTGTGGTTCATGAAAAAATAGTTTAATAAGGATAGCTTAGACACAGTATATGTGTGTATGTACATCGTATTCATTTATACACATATATTGACTTGATATGTGACAAATAAGAAACCACAAATAATGTATAAAATGACAGTTTACCAGATTACCCAATAGTAAATGCAACTAAATGTAACGCATGATCTGATATTTTCACTCAGTTTTATTGATGATTCTTGCCTAAATAATACGGCAACTTAATTCCATGATTTCTTATACAATTAGTTGATTTTTCTATTGTAAGGGAGTTCTTTTCCTGCTACACCATTTATTTTGGTATTTATGTATGCTATATGCATTTCTTTAGTTATAGCAGTGTGGTTAGTGGTTTTTTATTTTATTCACTGTTTATATCCTTTTCTACCACCGGTCCTTTACACATGTCCCCATTGTTGTTTGATGACTACTTTATTTTCTGCCACCACAAAATGTGTCAAGCTCATTTTGTACCTATATTGTCCATACATGGAGGCAATCATTTCTCCAAGGAACACTGGTTCCTTTTTGTGAAGAATAATATTTGCATAAAATAGTATTTGAATCCAGAGCTGGAATGATAATTGTGCTCATTTCTTCTGGGGTGTCATTGCTTGTCAAACCTCTCAGTGGTGTGAAAAATTAGGAAGGAGATGCATGAATTCTCAGATCATACATACATGTATACATAAGTATGTGTGACATATATACAAATAAATATATATCTATATGTCTATACATAAAGTCATGAGTCATGATTTCAAGCGAGTTCCCTTTTTTCTGTATTTCCCCTCCCTGTCAGTGAAAATACCATTACCTAAAATATTTTTACTTATTTGCCAGTCCACAATACATAAGTAGTATATTCTGGTTTCAAAATTGCTAGACTATGGCTATATAAAAAAGAAAACAAAATCCTATGAATTAGAGCTTATATTGTATATTTTTTATTCAGCCTGAGGGTATATAGATTAAATACTGAACACAAATTATAGTTTGTTACTTTCCCTTGCCTATCTGTCCTTCACTGTTGTTACATAATTCAATTAAAGTATGTTTTAGTTCCTTCGTTCGCTTTTGTCTTTCATTTTAAGTATCATTTCCCCACTGTTGTTTATTATAATTGCTTTCTTTGGGTATGTGAAACATTATCATGGTTCCAAAAGTCAGAAATGTGCAAAAAGAAACAGAAAAGTGATTTCACTCCATTGTATTGCTACCCTCTTCATGCAGTTCCCATCCATCTTCTCTAGGTAACCAAGCTCTCTGTGTTATGGTGTATCATTTATTGTTTCCTTTTTGCAATATTCAAATACATGTATATTTTACTGTTTTCCCTCCCCCCCTTTTTTTTACACAAAATGCACTGACAAGTGGCATTTTTTCAAAAAGGATAGAAAGTAGAGAGGGATTGGGTTAAGAATGACTATGTTTTCGGGGCGCCTGGGTGGCTCAGTTGGTTAAGCGACTGCCTTCGGCTCAGGTCATGATCCTGGAGTCCCGGGATCGAGTCCCACGTCAGGCTCCCTGCTCAGCGGGGAGTCTCCTTCTCCCTCTGACCTTCTTCCCTCTCGTGCTCTCTATCTCTCATTCTCTCTCTCTCCCTCTCAAATAAATAAATAAAATCTTTAAAAAAAAAAAAAGAATGACTATGTTTTCAAAGCAGATCAGAAAATGTTTTTATGTCAAAGTAATATTTTTACTGAGAAACGAGATAAAACAGGAAGTCCTGTGAAGTACCAGATTTTCTATCTCTTGAATATTGATATTTGTCTTCATGTTCTGGATATGCAATTTTTATATGTCTTGTGGATTGTTTTGTCTTCATAATATTATCCTGACATCTCAGAACATAATATACTCATATTTATTACTTAGTGAATATAAATGCGTAAAATAAATACTATTCCATAGAAAAGATGATCTGATCAGATCATTTTTTGATGTTGCAAATCATAGAACTATGTAATGTAAAGTTGACATCTATTTCATATTTGCTATCATTATATTATACTCGAGTATATATTTTAGTGATGTGTGGAATTCAACTTCTTTTTCTGTCTGATAAGTAGAAATGTAAATTTTAGTAATATGAAACAAAGAGACCTGGTAAAACAGTCATCAAATGTATATCATTGTTAAGTGATTTTATGTGATAAACAATATAGCTGAATGTTAAAAAAAATGGGAATAATGTAAACCAAGAAAATGAAATACGATTGAAGATATGAAAATGAGTTAAAATGATATTTATTACCTAATTTTAAAGTCTTAATATACATCTATACATCTACCTCTCTCTCACTCTATCTCTTTATAAAGCTATACAAACAAGAGTTCATACTGATTATCTCTAATATATTTAATATATCTTAGACACTATATAGTTATTTGCTCAATCCTAGAATACACATAAAACAATTTTAAAATTATTAAATCACACTCTGAGTAACAAATCTACTGACTGAAGTACAATATTTCTTTACTGTTCTTTTTGGCTTTAGCCTTACATTAGATGGTCAAAATGTTGCATTTAAGAGTTACCGAAGTTCATCCTTCCTTCTTGCCTCTGTGTGGTATGGTTATGTTATTCATTTGAAATTGAGGGATTCATTTAGTTCTATTTCTATTCCATTTTGAGTTTTCTTTCCCTCTTTGATTTTATTCTTTAATATGTGAAACATAAATATGGCTCCAACAGATCTGTATAAAATGACATATTTGGAAAATCATTGTCTCCATTTCTTTTGTTTCATTTTATTAATGAGGTACAATCCACATGCTATAAAATTCATCTTTTTTAAAAAGTGTACAGCTCAGTGGTTTTGAATATATTTACCATATTTCATTTTCCCATTCGTTCCATCCTGTCCCCAACCACACCCAATCTTAAACAGTTAATAAATTATTTAACTTTAATTCTATACAAGGTATTGTGTCTTATACTTTATAAATATTACCTCATATATATTTATATAAATTATATAAAATATAAACTTTGTTTATGGATGAGGATACTAAAACGTAGAGGAAAAATGTGACTTTTACAATATCATAATTCCGTGTTTATAAATTGAGTTTAGAACCCAGATCCTCTGAGGCCAAGATCCATGTACTTACTAACTCCAAAATGCCTCCTCTACTGTTATAATCCTGGTACAGATACCACAACACCTCATCTGGATTTTTGCAAAAGCATCGAATTGGTATCATTGCCCTTCCTTGCCTATGTCTGTTCTTGGCAATGCAACCACAATGATCCACTGAAACACTGAGGTTAGATCATGTCTCTTCTTTGCTTGAATTTGTATAAATTTTACCCTTTAAAAGAGAGTAAAAGCCTAAGTACTTAAATGGCCTAAAGTTTCAGTATGATTTTCCTACCTGCATTTTTACGGTTTCATCTTCTAACACTCTATGTGATGCACCAGCCACGCTAGAGTCCTTGCAGACAACAAATAGTTTCTCTCCTTTAAAGCTATTATTATTATTACTATTATTATCAGTTTTATGTTCACCTTTCTCAAAGTCCTTACTGTTCTCCACTCTCTTTCCATATTTGTTACCTTATCAGGGAGTCATTTTTCTGACCACAATCCACTTTCGCCTTGCCCCAGCATTTCATATCATCTCCCTTAGTTTTTTTTTCCTTGTAGCACTTATTACTGGTGTCATAGGTTAAAAGTCTTATCATTCGGGCGCCTGGGTGGCTCAGTTGGTTGAGCGACTGCCTTCGGCTCAGGTCATGATCCCAGAGTCCCGGGATCGAGTCCCGCAGCGGGCTCCCCGCTCGGCGGGGAGTCTGCTTCTCCCTCTGACCCTCCCCCCTCTCGTGCGCTCTCTCTCTCACTCTCTCTCTCAAATAAATAAATAAAATATTTTTCAAAAAAGTCTTATCATTCTTCTGTCTCCATTAGAATGACAGCAGGGAATAGGATGGTTTTGTTCCCTTCGTGATTCCCATAATTCTCAGCACCCATAATATATATTCCTCCAACAAAATAAAAGATTGAGTTTTTATAGACCAAAGATGATGGTGTGCTATAATATGTGGAGTGGATTTAGTTTGATTGGCTACTCCAAAAGTATCATAGAAAAGAAGTAAACTAAATGAAGATATAGTATACTAACATCTGCTATTGAATTGATTCTAATTATACTAACGAATCTTGATATTGCCATTTTCTATCATACAGATAATTATATAGTAGCTTATTTGCATGTGAATATATATGGCTATAAGTTAATGCAATTAAGAAAATGAAGAATCACTTCATGTAAATTATTGTGACCAATTAATTATATAAGATTTTAATTTGAAAAATTTCTAAATTCTATAAACTTCCTTAAAATTAGTTTAATGCAGTAAAAATGAAGAAAATACAGCAATTTGTTGCTGGATGTCTAGTTCTGAATTATAGACATTCATTGCATGAACAGCTTTAGCTAACTATGGACTAATGAGGATCTTTTGGAAAACAGAAACTGCTAAATATTCAGAAGTTATTTGTTCACCTCTAACTTAAAGGTAAAATTGAAAGAAAAGATATTTAATGGACTCTGACAAGTATTTAGAATAAAAACATGTTAAAAATTACATTGCAACCATTAAATTCTTATCACTAATGAAATAAATGTAAATTTTTCTTTATTCCTTTTGACTGATAAAAGGAACAGTAAACACCTTTTATATAAATCTACCTGACTCTACGCAAATGATGAATCATGGAACACTACATCAAAAACTAATGATGTCCGCCATTTTGTGGACGCCAGGTCAGTGAGAGCATCTCTGGGAGTTGGTCGGGGAGGGGAGCAGGAAGCGGGAAGACCCATCTGAGGGTGTGTGGATTTGAGCGTCCGCTTTCCAACCCAAGATCTCAAAATGTATAGTGATTCCTATCCATTGGACTGTAAGGTTTATGTAGGTAATCTTGGAAACAATGGTAACAAGAATGAATTGGAACCAGCTTTTGGTTATTGTGGACCACTCTGAAGTGTGTGTGTTGCTAGAAACCCTCCCGGTTTTGCTTTTGTTGAATTTGAAGATCCCCGAGATGCAGCCGATGCTTTTCGAGAACTAGATGGGAAAACATTATGTGGCCGCTGAGGAATAGTGGAACTCTCGAATGGTGAAAAGAGAAGTCGAAATCGTGGCCCACCACCATCTTGGGGTCGTTGCCCTCGAGATGATTATCGGAGGAGTCCTCCACCTCAACCTCAGATCTCCAAGACAGAGAAGCTTCTCCCCCAGCCAGAGCAGGTCCCTTTCCAGAGATAGGAGGAGAGAGAGATCACTGTCTCGGGAGAGAAATCACAAGCCTTCCCGATCTTTCTCTAGGTCTCGTAGCCGATCTAGGTCAAATGAAAGGAAATAGAAGACCAGTTTGCAAGAGGAGTGGTGTACAGGAAATAACTTTAATTGACAGGAGTATGTACAGAAAATTCAAGTTTTGTTTGAGATTTCATAAGCTTGATGCATTCTTAAGATGTTTTAACTGTTCACATTTGTTTGTCTCTTGGAACAGTGACACATAAAGATGTAATTCTCTATGATTTGAATGGATCATATGAGGCATGTAATATCAAGAATTGTTACTTCACAATGTTCCCTTAAGCAAAATTGAATTTGCTTTGAATTTTAGTCTCACATAGACTGATAATAAACCTCTAACTCCTGCCCCCCCAAAAAACACAAAATCTAATGATATAATGTATGATGATTAACATAACATAATAAAATTAAATTAAAAAAAAAATCACCTAAATGAATAAATAATAACATGAATATAAAAAAAACAACAAAAAAAAACCCTACCTGACTCTTGATTTGAAAAATTTCTCATTCGTTGGAACTGATCTTTGCTAGTGTATAGTGAATAAGGAAAGCCTGATATCTTCCTTTCTTTGCTTCCTTTAAAAAAAAATTATACTTTTCCAATGAAGCATTTTAGAATACATGGGGAAAAAACTCAAGGATAATGATGAGTATGTTTATTTTGTTGTCTACTTTAATGAGATGGTGTGTTTTCTTAAGTCAATAGACTTGCAGATTGGAAAAAAGTCAAAGGACTGGTAAAAGGAAAGTAAGGGGAAAAAAATCCCATAATTTTGGGCATTTTAAGATTCTATTCCACCTGAAGTTGTGATGTCTGCCATAAAATGTTTTCAAAATACCACAGCTTAATTATTTACTCATATGACAAAATGAAGGATTTTACCAAGACTACCTCAAAAACCAATGTGACTATTAAAGGAAGTAAAAACTTTAAAAGATGTTATGACATCTATATGATGTACTAGTTGAAAATACTCAATTTTTATATAAATAATAAAAACAATTAGAAGGGTGAAATTCATGAGAAAAGTTAAACATGGATCATAAGTTATCTATTTGCTCATGATATCTAGATGCACTTATAGGATGCTTTTGATATTTAGGGTGAGTTAGTGGCATAAAAGACAGATGCAATTAGTGTGTTAAGTGTATAGTATGTTAAATGTAAGGAAGAGCAAAGATAGTAGCAATAAATAAGAATTTGATAAAAAAAGAGTGCTACTTTTAGATAGACATAAATAAGTCATGATTGTGACATATCTGGGCTAACAGCTAAATCTCCCCTAAATTGGCCACCTATTGGTGACACTCATATAGTCCTATTCTGCCCATATGTGCTCAGCCCAAGAAAAACAGATAAAACTCATAACCATTCAGCAGGGCAACTGGCAAGCTACAGCTCTTGGCAAGGCATATTTTCACCTATTTTTATGAATAATTCTAATAGAAGATGTCTGTGTATCATTGGTTCGGTCGTCTTCCATCTGTTTGGGACTTTTTGCTCAAATCTTGACTCTGGTTCTTATAACCAGACTTTTTGTGGAGAAGCTGGTGGTGGTGGAGAAAAGAGAGAGAGAAAGACAATGTAGAAACATTGCATAACTCAGGAGGCCTGGGTGGCTCCGTCGTTAAGTGTCTGCCTTTGGCTCAGGTCATGATCCTGAAGTCCTAGATTGAGCCCTGCGTAGGGCTCCTTGCTCAGTGGGGAGTCTGCTTCTCCCTCTGCCCCTCACCCTGCTCATGTGTTCTCTCTCTCTCTCAAATAAATAAATAAAATCTTTAAAAAAAATTGCACAACTCAGGATTCAAGTAGTGGTATTCTTCCACCCATGAGTACCTTTTCCTAAATATATTTTTCTCCCTAGTATCTTTCTCCTTGTTTCTTTCTGTGCATTTCAATTTAATTTGGTAAGTTATCACCTTAAATTGGTCTGTGAGCATTTCTATTCCATGACATCTGGGATTGTTACCTGGCATTGTATTTGGAAGCTACTACTTCATCAAGATAATTGACAATGACATGATAATGATATGAGGTGACAAGGCTACTGCCCTTTGACCCTGGCAAAAGATCAAATGCATCACACTTGTTTTGGAGCCTTACTAGATTCCATTTCTACACATACCATTCCCCATAGGCCAAGGGCATGTTCCCACTTACAGCATACGCCTCTATCTTCGAAGATTATGCATTGGGTACTTGGGACTAAAATTCTGAATTCAAATGATGCTCAGACCAATATCAGAATCTGCATGTGCCTTTACCCCAGGTCTATCCTCAAAGAGACCAAGAGGACTTTATTTCAGAGCACATGCACAAAACTTGGTCATGTGGGCAACTGGTCCACCTCTACATGTTCAAGGCCCATCATAGTGCAAGAGGGAACCATGGATGGGAGAGAGTATATATATATATATATATATATATATATATATATATATATAGGCTGGAATCCAGGGCTGGCTCTCTCCAGAGTGCCATATTTCATTATGGCAGTAGAAGGAGTCTAATAATTCCAAATTCAAACCTGGCTTTCCAGGACTTTATAAAGGTGTATTTGTCAAAGTAGAAAGATAGAATATACTTTATTTCACAATCTGTTAACTTGATTTGTAACTTTTAAGTATTCGGACATATGGTATGTGGGCTGCCATTTGTGCCCAACCTTGCAAGTACTAAGACTGGGACTACCTTTAGGCCTTTATTTATCTATTTAAAGAAGGAAAGTGTAATACCGTGTGAAAACAGAGTGATTTTTGAAGCAATAGCGGAACTGCGACTCAAATATTACATAGTTCTCAAACAATTTTCTTCTCCTAAAATGTATTTAGCAAATGGGTTGTTTTAAGTTTGAGAAGCATTTCAAACAGAATAACTGAAGTTTAAGGAAAGGCAGGTTTAAATAGATAAATGAGATCATGAATCTGGGCAAAATAAGGTCTGGTGGCACAAGTAATGCTTTCTGGAAAAGGTTAGTTATTGGAACAGTGTATGGACTAGACTTTGATATGAATACAATATTTCAGTCAGTTGATCAGATATCAAACTATAATACTTAAACAAAACAACTCCAGGGCAAAAATCAGTTACTCTTTCACCTAATCTGTTACTTGTTAGGAATTTTACTACCTACCAATCCTTTCTTAACAATTTCTACTGTTAATATTGTTTGATATATAGAAAAGTAATGATTATACATGCTTTTGAATATTTAATTATACAGTATACAAAAGTACTTACTAACTTCATGATTTTCCTAACATTGCCTGAAGATGCTGGTAAACATAGTCATGGTTTTGACTGCTGAACAGTCTTTATTAAAAACTTGAGTTCCTTTCCTGTCAAAGTATAATCTCTCATTTTATCATCTATAGTACATAAAAGTAAATTGAGGACCAGGAAAAATAATTAAAAAATGAAGAAACAAAGATAATTTGAAGCACAATAAAGAACTTTAAAAATTGTGAGCTTCTAAAAGTTATCAGAAAATTTTTGCATGACCAAACATGAAAGTAACTTCTATAAAAGAACAGTAACTAAAGAAAAAAATGTGTTACTGAATGTTTTTAAGAGGGTGTAATCTGTATTTAACAATTGTTGAAGAACAGAAAGGATATATCCAAAGAATCAATTGGTGTCTTGTACACAATAAAAAATGTAAAGTATAAAAATGTGAGAAACTATACATTCTACATGCCATTATTTTTATTTAAAAAAAAAGAATAAGATTGGAGCAAGAGCTGAAAAAAAAACAAAATGTTAAAATATAAGTTACTGAAATCAACCTAAGAAAATTATGTATCCTCAAGTGGAGAAACATTGGCATACTGCCAAATCTAATGATTTTTGGCAAATATAATGATGTATTCTGAAAAAAAATTCAGCATTAAAAAAAGTAATATTCACAGAGAAACAAATATAGAAATTGGTAAAGTTTGGGAAAAAAAAATTTGAACCTAGAACTCCAGACCCAACCAGAACTGCCTTCCAATTCTAAGTAGATGCTAAAATTATTTTCAAATGTGCAGGGACTCAGAACTTGTAATACACATGGAAATATATATATATATATATATATATATGTATTTCTTGAGCATTATCACAAGGAAAGAGTAAGATAAAAGAAGACATATCAATAAATCAACGTTGGGGCTATCAAAAATAACAGCTTTATAATGATCTAGGGAACATTTGACCTTACTAAAGTACTTAAAGAAAAAGGTGACTCTATGTGTAAAATATTAAGACAGTTTAGTGGGAATTAGTGATTATTGAATATTTTGATGTGTACTGGCAACAAGAAATGTGTAACTTAATCTGGCATTCCTGGAGGGGAAAGAGAAAGCTTTATAAGGAAGACATAATCCCAATAGAAAAATAGAAAAAAATATATTGTGATTTTGTGAAAAATGATGACATATTGAAGATACAGATACCATTACACTTAAAGTATTCACTTTGAGCAACACAGGGTTAGGAGAGTTGCGTTTCTTTCTTAATGTCTTTATACATTCTACCAAGTTTCTCAGTCAATAATACTAAACAGTTAAAAATATGAGTGACTTATTATACTGTATGTCGAGAATGACAGCACAAAAAAAAAAACCCCACAAAAAAAGACATAATTATTGAGAATAAAAAGACAAATGTGGTTTAAATGTACAAAATGATTTTCATCCCAAATTTTCACTCTTTCTTCCATCTTTCTCCTGCATATTTTCACTACCAGATTGAAGCAACCAGCTGCATTCAGTGCTTCGGTATCATTTATCAGTAAGAGGACAATATTAAAAAAGAAATCAGAGAAAACAAAGAAGTGAAATTCCTAGCTCCATATTCTAAAATATGTTCTTTAAAGCCACTATTTTTGAGGAGTAAGAACTATTTTGCAATTTAAAATGTTATAAGCCAAAAGAATTAGCATGTTAACAGTTGTGCCACCAAAACAGATTGGAAAAAGAATAAATAAAACAACAGACCACCCCTGAAAATTATTTGCAATTTTCTGAGGAAGGAAAAAATTCAGAAGCAGACATGAGACCTAAACAGTGCTATATTACTCTCATTTAAGTCTCAGTGGAAGATTTAACTGGGATTATAACATTTCCGTAACATTTGAGAACTCCAGGACAGATAGGATTGCATCTTGATTCTTTGGTAAAGCTGAATATATTTCAAGCCTCACAGAGCAATCTTCCATTTAAAATCATGGTGTGTGGACCTAAAATATCAAGAGTGGCATGCTGTGTTTGTGTGTGGAGATCAGGAGCAAACTTGGGTGAGTTCCATACATAAAGAATGTATCATGTGGTAATCAGAGAGCAGAATAGGAGACATA